CGTTCTGCAAGTTATTTGTGCGAGTGGTTTATTAACGTGAGGGACTCTTCAGGGTAATCAATCGGCGCCCACTGAGAAAACTGTGCTTAATGTAATAAGATATGGCAGATTGCAACAGGACGTGAATCGCTCACAATGGACAAACTTACGGGTAATTCTGCAGCTGAAACAATTCAGTAAGGTTTCAAGAATCCATATTTGGCCAACAATATAAGATGCCCTCTTTTCGGACCAGCCAACTACACAACTTCGCGTCTTCTGGATAGGTCAGTGGCTATGCCCCAAAAATACGTTATCATCTGCTGACTGACATTTGGGACAAGCATAGCCATCACAAAAGTTGAGGTGATATAACGCACGATCCGTTGCACACCAGCGACCACTGGTATTAATCAGCTGGTCACAGAGCGTTTAAAAGCCCCAATCTGTGTATTTAGACCGCCATCTGGGTTGAGGCGCAGTGTCTTCGACCACCGACGACAGGTCGTCAGCTGTGGACTTCGAGCCTCACCTTGTCTAGTCCAAAACTATGACAGTGCAGACTTTGGGGGCTTATCCCAAGCGCCGCAGACCATAGGAACGCACACGCGGTCATTCGACAGACAAAGTTCAGAAAGTACCCGTCGCCATCTACGACTTTCTGTCGTCAGTGTGTTATGACGTTTACAAATCGTACTCGCGCATGAGCAACTCCGTGCCGGGTAACCTTCTGTGTGACATGCTACGTTGCATTAGTATGGTGCAACCGGTTGGTCAGCCAAACTTTTACTTTTACAGAAGGTTGTTCGTCGCATTATAAGAATAGGCCATCTCGGTTTGTGCATGTACAGCCCATTTGCGGATGATGTAAAAACCGTGGACCGTAGGGTGAGACACAACTCGTGGTCCCGCGTGGCGCAGCAGGTACAGATCTTGTCGGAATCTGCGAGCTGATATTATGATAAACAAGAAATCCGATGTGCGGCACTATCCAGGGGAGCCATGGGGTAAAATATGCACCGGTTGTTTGCAGAGTATCTCTGTGATTAAAAATACACGGATATTATTCGATACATACGTGCTTCCTGACAGATTTTCAAATATAACAGTGGCACAAAATGACATCGCGGCCGAGGACTACTATCGCTGCCCGCATGTTTGTCGCTAGTTTGTCCACCACAGAAGTATTCATGGGATATCCTTCACCTATCATTTCCACAGGCAAACCGAACAGTTTGCGCACGGAAGCAAACTGTTCGCTTCACATGCAGGCAGACATCACCGGACGTCCGGTGATGTTGCCATCCGTTATTAGGAGGCTGTAGAGCTCGACCACACAAACCAGATATTCGTTACTTCAAAAAGTCACTGTAAACCGGTTCTCGCGTGTGTTTTATCGACGTTCATGATACCCAGGAAGCTTCGGAACAATGGTATCTGCTGCTGAGAATTATATGCAGCTATGGTGACATTGTTGTGATTGCAGCAAAAGGCATGTCATCCGCCACAAAAAATCCCAACAATGAGTCACATATTCCAAAGAGATGGCCGTTAGATCTATATGTTCTGAGTAATATGGGCCTTGCCGAAATCATCAACTACAAACTGCCGCACTTTGCACGGCGGCATTCTATACTTCAAGGGGCCCTGTGGGTGCATAACTCCTTCGGTTAGCCATCGATATACCGGAAGCTTGTGATACTAGAATTTAGAAACCTCATATTTGTTTTCAAAATAATAAGTGACCAAGAGATGGTTCCCACAACTCCCTATACAAAACGCACAAGAAAGCCGGTGCAATGCTGCTTGTCAATATCAAACACCCAGTTACCAGCCACTTCCGGTTCCTCGAATTTTTTAGTTTTGCTGGCCCGCTACCGCATTTGTAGCACACGCATTCGTAACGCGAAAAGGCGTTGATGCTTCGATTTTTAATACACGCGCAAATATCACATAGTAATTAAGCATTCGTTCCTTGAACCCCTCAAATGCTGTGAGGGGTTAAAAGTAGGAAGCTATAGCATAGGATGTTCAGGTGTGAATAAGCACCAAAAATTAGGAAGAAGTTTAACTAAAATAAATCGTGACAAAATGACGATTAAGTGAGTAAACAAAAAACGCAGAATTTTGCGTGCAATTTTTTTCACCCGCAAAAGTTTTGCAAATTGAGCATTTTGAGGCCAACGGTCTGTCCATCATCGTCTGTCCAGATCGTGAAGGTAGGCATCATTATGATCCATTTGACTGCCACCCCAGAATTCACAGTAGCAGCTCGGGCAAACTGATGAAACGAATCATCAACCTCCCTTCTCAATCAACTTGGTGGTGATGCCCTCAAAATTTGTCTATAGCTTGCTCAATAGTAGTCCCAAACTGCCGTTAGTAACTTTTCGTATTTTATCCATCTCCCGCCTCTTGCTTACAGTTCCTTTTGTGCAAGCGCGAAATACTATCAAGTCTCCTAGGCCACGAAGGCGAACCGCCCATCCAACCCTACCAAATGAGGGCCCAAGTTTTCTGCAGCCGTGCCAGTCCAAAATGGCAAATGCATTTTTGCAAATGCATCACGCTTTCTCCGCCTTTCGCTTTTATGGCACCAATTTAACTCTTGTTGTGCAGGTATCGCATCGTCATTGGGGGACAACAACGAAACTGAACAACATCTACGAGATTTAGTTTAGTTCTAGCAAAAAATTTCCCCAGTATCCTCGTTAGAATACAGCGCGAAGTGACAGAAATTATTCTAAGGCGGTTCATCTTAAATCACTTCAGTGACAAAAACTTGATACAACCAGCACAACATGGATTCCTCTAGAACCGTTCTCTGATGACGAACGTATTCGCATTTGTCAACAACTTAACCGAAGCCAGAGAGGAAACATCCAACCCGGGCACAGTATTTTTCGGCTTGGCAAAAGCATTTGATTGGACCTCGCTTGTTCCAATACTCCACAAACTAGAATATTGTTTGATTCAGTGAAAAATTTTACGTTGAGTTAAGGTAGTCACATCAGGTTGAATACTCCAAGTAGAAGTGGGCTCGACCTATCGTTCTTCAGCATACGTCACCAAGCCTTCGCTATTCAAGGCTCTGTTTTAGGACAAGCCGTGTTTCTGACCTGCGTCAACGACCTTCTAAATGCACTTCCATGTCAATGTCTACTTTTTGCAGATGGCACGGATTCGTGATGTTCTAACGCCAGCACCATCCAAACAGCTGTAGTTGCTGCAAAGCAGAGGTCACTACACTGGCTAATTCCTCTGAATAGGAAAAATTGCGCCCAGGTCTTTCGGAATTGACTCAGCGAACGTTTTCATTCTGCCATTTGTGCCCTTGCCGTGAGAGTGTAGGATAGAAACCGAAACGGATTTAGGCATCTGAACATCTTAAATATCCCCTCCTCACTGTACGGTGGAAAGTCGTCTCAGAAGGCCTTCGCCGTTCTGTAAATCATTTGGTAATACTCGTAATACTCGTATGGAGTACCAGCTACTCCTTGGGAGCTACTTCAGACCTATTTGAATATGTAAACCAAGTTTTCTAATCAGAATGCAAGAAAAACATAGCACTCATTAAGCGTTCCCACAGCTGATTTCCGACCTTAAATCCTCTGAAGCGCGTCTTGGAGCGTTTAAACTTTTTCATTAGGGAACCACTGACTGCTAAGAGAACTGGTGCTTACTTATGCCCCGTTTGAACAAGGTTTGGCCGACAGTTTATTCCCGTTGACCCAAATAACACACAGTAGGACACAGTCAAAAGAGTCTAAAGTTACGAGCGCGCACGTTTATTAGGAAATTTTTTCTCGTTTCTGGTAGTTGGTGCAAGGAATAGAATTCTTCCAACCGTTGTTCACGCCGTATATAGAACCCAGGTCAGAGTAAATTTGCAGTGGTCTCGCTACCCAATAAGTTAGGTTACTAGGAGTGTGTGGCAAAGAAGTAAAAATAATAACGCTAGGTTGTGTATGCAATAATAAAGAGGTCAGATGGAACAGACTCACTAGCAACTGTTCTCTTTAAAATAGTTCGTCGTTGGCCCAGGTCAGCGAATAAACAATAATCCAATTATGTTGATCTAGAGGTCTCCTTCTGGACAGTTCCCACATATAATAGATTCCGAAGATGGTCTGAAATGTTTTGATACCAGAGTTAGTACACAAGAATCGCGAATGACCGCTGCAAGCGCGAGCGAAATCAGAAGAGAGAGAGTCGAAGCACGTGACCACGCTTTTATTCTGTGAAATTGTCCAATTGCGCGTTTTTGTAGTTTTTCGTATCCGAACAAAAAACGATTATGCAATTGACGAAATACGTAGTGTTATAACAGAAGCAGAATAAAGGTACAAAACGTCACCTTTTTGATGCCGTTTCCTGTGAGTTCACGCGCTGACAGTCTTACCACCAAACGCGGTGCCACACAATTTTCCGCTTGGGCCTCCCTAATGAATGGAACTGCGGAAACTGTTGAAAGACAAACTCGTACTCTGGAAACTTTGGCGAAAACCGCGACCTTCTGTATCAGTCTTCGAAACCGCGAAAACAGGTATCGGTAAAATAGTACACAGCCTCACACCTTTCCCGTATTCATTCACCTATGGATCGGTGCGCAGGATTTAGGCCTTCTTCCGAGCTCTCATGGAGAATTCCTCTTCTTGCCACACAACGGCTTCCGTTCACCTGAAAAACAAGCTGAAAAAGGGTGCAGCATGGTTCTTCAAATTCTCAACGCCCGGCAGCATGTTTGTCACTGCGAGGACTCACATAACAAAAGAATCATTAGTATTTACCGCATTATCGCCATAATTCTGAGCTAGCGTTGGTCGTCAGGAAGCCTACGTATTACCGGATGCACCAGAACCCCTCGAAACTGATGAAATTTCTGAATGCCCAATGGGTATCCTAGCTGTAAGTCAGCAAACATGATGCCTCTTCTCGAGGCTTCCGACCAATAAGCACTCTGTGCTGTTGTCGTCTATGCACACTTGCGGCGGTGCCACCGCCGGTTGCGTTCCCTCCTCATGAGTCCTCCTGAGTTGGATCCGGATGTACTTATTCTTGACAATGTGGTAGGCTCCCTAAAGTCTTTAAATAATGACTCCTGCCTCAGACATATCACTTACCTAGCCTCACTCCGGAAGAGCGTTTTCGGTATGCTCCCACCATTGTTAGGGCATGTCACTAATCGTCCTTAACAGGTTGAAACGGTTGAAAGTGCGTGAGATGCATCGTGGTCATGAGGAGATGCATTTGGAAATGTTTGTGATAGCAATGGTCAGCTTATTTGTTTGTCAGCTGCTACTGATGACATGGAAAAAGTATCATTATCGGACGTATCAACTGGCTACACTGATTGGCATGTGGACGGTCCCATTTATGTACAGTTTATTCGCCAAGTTCCCAAGATTCATTGCTATTTGGTTTTTATTCTCACTTGTTACTGGATCTATGTTGTACATGGCATCAAAGCGACGTATCAGTACGTCCACTCCCAGGTAGGTATAGTGGTTTCTTTCCATTCAGTTTTTCTGTTCTTGTTTATTTCTGAATGTAGACGCAAGTAAGAGGGTAAAATCTCTCATGTTTGGATAGTAATCGCTGATTTCTCACTCGTGATTGACTGAAGACCAAATAACTACTCGTACTCTCCTAAGACATTCTGATTAGTGCTACCTTGGATAAATGTTGAGTGGAATTTAGCTCGATTGTCCGTTCAGTTTGGTACCCTGGTTGTCTCGTACATCCACCAATGCCCAACCACGGGCTAGTTTCACATCCAGAGAAGGCTGCGAAATTCCATGCTGTCTCTTACTGTTCGTGTGATATGGGGTCTACTCTAGGATGGTACTTGCGAGTAGTACTGCACGCGGACGTGCTGCGCGCTGCTACATGAACCCAGTTATCTGCAAAGTTAACTGGCTTCTGACTTCGTTTTATTATACGATAGGACTGGCCTGTCTTCAATCTTAGAGGTTGATTTTATTCGGCCTTTCCTCAATATATGATCTCCCACGTTTTATGGCGTTCCTTGTTCTCCTGGATGTAAAGCTGTTACCTTGTCTCGAGAAATACACCCAGTTGCAAATCAATTTGTTTTTCACGACAGACTCAATTTAATCTCTCGTTTACGATGTGCTCCAGCTGAATGTGCTGCACACAGGCCGCCTCATGATTCAGTTGGCACGATATTCGTGATATCACAGTATATTTTCATAAAGGAAACTACTCACTAGGTTGCTGAAAACTCTTCGACAGCCCATGGCCGGTTTCGCCCTTCGTGGGGCTCATCAGGTAGGCGCAGGCCCCGAGTTTCCGTCAACCTTATGATCTACTTGAATCCAAATTGGACCGTTTTCGAGAAATACGCTAATTTGCAAATCAATTTGGTTTTCACGGCAGACTCAATCGAATCTCTCGTTTATGATGTCCTCCAACTGAATGTGCTGCACACAGGCCGCCTCATGATTCAGTTGGCACCTACCTGATGAGCCCCAAGAAGGGCGAAACCGGTCGTGGGCTGTCGAGGAGTTTTCAGCAACCATGTGAGTAGTTTCCTTTATGAAAATATACTGCGATATCTCGAATATCGTGCCAACTGGAGTACCTCATTCATTGGCCTGAGAAACTGAAAAGTGACTTTCGCCTTTGAAGCTCTTCGTCCACCGTCCTCATCTATCAAACGGCACACCGCCGTCTATCCGTTCGCCAGTTTTCCAAACAGTGTTCCTTGTCTAACCTGTCACCCATCAAATTAAACCAAAATAATCCTTCAACTCAAAAGTTCTGATTTACATCTCATCTCTCAAGGTCCGTATTGTGTCGAATTCGACAATACGTTTTTTTGCTGAACCCTTAATCTCCCTTTCCGTTGACTTATGCTGCGCACCTCGAGCCGCCTAGAGCGAGTATCTTGTAATCCTCACCAAATAACTCGTGGTGTATATGGTGCTGGAGTTCAATTCAGTTTCAGGGCTTAAGGTGCTTTGCCGGTCTCGACACTAGTAAACAGCCGTCTTTGTGCTGTCTGGTTCAACTAAGATCAATCCAGGTCGATCCAGTAAATGGTGTTTGTCGTTTCCGTATATCTCTAGACAAACTACAGTTGTGAATCTGTGGACGGTAGGTTTTATTGATGTGTCAGGAGTGCTTCGATCAACAATATGAACGGATGTTGTCATATAGGTAGTAGAATGATAAACATCGTTGAGCTGCAGTACCCTTTCAGTGGCATGTCGGCCGGCGGAAGCATGAGGGGTGAGATCCACCCTGTTGTCCAAGCCTAGATAGGAGCAGCAAGATGCCCGGGGTGCAACAGAAGTTAAGATGCAAAAGTCGGGTTCGAACGACGGACCTTCCGATCAGTAAATTCGCGCACTAAACACTGAGCTATCTCGTGCTTCGCCATGGAGGGGGATGGTATGAACATCCAACTTGAATGACTGAACAGAGTTAGGTGACGCTCGGTGTACAGATTATGGGAAACGAGTTCTTTAGTCGTGCTGGACATCGTCTGTCTCTGGCCAATTCACACTGAGTTGGAGGTGAATAACTGCAAGCCAGTCATGGACTCAGTTAGATCAAGTGGCTGTCAGTTACCTCAATCAATAAGACTGGGGTGCGCAGCTTTATTCGGACTGTCATTGTGTGGACGCGCTTGCCATTTCGCTTTTCATCAGCATTATGCATCCAGAAGCAAGGTAGTCTCATCCATCAACTCTGATTAGTCGCACTGCCTCAACTATATCCAAATGACCTGGCTAGAAAGTTACTGGAAACGTACAGCCACGTCACTGTCGAAGATCGGTTGGAGGATGACTGGGAGAGAATCAAAGAAGTGACACTATTAGCTTTCAGAACTGTCTGTCGAAGCCATCCGACTCGATCAAACGAACAAGAAATCGTCGAGACGAGCAGATTTAATTGCTGCATTTAGCGACTACGATGTCGCATGCGGATCCCTTAAATGCCGGCTAATGAAGAGTCTGAGAGACAACGCTGCTAGGTTGTGAAAGCCAGAAAAATGGGAAGCTTTTGGTGCGGGCAACCATTGCGCTCTATTTCAGGTGATTCGATCAACCAGCCAGAAGGGCTTCATTGAAGCGATTTGCAAAATAGATGCAATGGTTATTCTTTCGCAAAATCGTCTTGAGCGATGGGCTGAACACCTCAAAGAACAGTTCAGCTGGTCTCCTTTAGCAGGACCTCTTGGAAACCCAGGGACGAGATGGTCCAGTAATTAGAGCACAGATTTACTGGCCGGAAGGTCCTTGGTTCGAATCCGACCTTTGCATCTTGACTTCTTTCTAGGCTTAGGCAACCTGGCAGTATCCCAGTCCTCGTGCTTCCTTCTGGTGGCATAGCAGCTAAGCACCGAAAGAATGTTACGACCGAACGATTATTCTTCAGAAGAACCCAACGAGTTTGAATGGGACATAGACATCGGCCCTCCATCAGTAACAGAAATTCAGTGTTACACCTCGCACCGGGCCTGGTTTATCTGCACCCTGCATTTCTCAGACAAGGTGATGAGGTCTTGGTGGACAACCTGACAACGATACTGCAGATTTGGGTCGAAAACAATACCGTTAGAACGGAGTTCTTCGCCCGTGATTCAAGTCCTCAAAAGTGGCGCCAGAACGTCACTCAAAACCCATCATGGTATCCAATGTACAATCTGGCATTATGTTGCACAGGTTGATCGATTATCGAGGACGCTGAGGACGCATCGACCTTATCCTTATCTCGAGACTAATTCTTGGGCAGCTCATTTGCTTCAAACGCTTCGCTTTGGTCATTTTCCTGGATCTCAAAGCTAGTTTTCCTCTCGGTCGTCAGGGAATCTGACAATGTTTGGTGACTAGAGGTGTCCCAAATTTATCTCTTATGAGGGCAGTGTAAGCGGACTTCTCTGGGGGCAAACAATTATACATCAAACGTTCGCCATAGTTCACCACGTTCAGTGGTTTAAGACAAAACTGCCTCCTGTCACCATGCCTGTTCGGCATTTTCATTAATCTTCCACTTGAAGACTCTCTGCCTGCTCATGAAACCGCGAGGACCGAAATTATCCTCACAGACCGAGGATGCGGACGATATTTTCCCCTTGGTTCATATCCTTCGACTGTGTAACTCGTTTTAATGTGGACTTCACACCCACAAAGTGTTCTGTGCCGATACAAGGGTGGCTGGCCTCAAACCCAATCATCATGTTTGCATAACGGCCAATTGCCGTTGTGCAGTTGTATAGGTTCCGATGGACTGGATGGAGATGCCATTATTTCTCGAGTCGGGAAGACCAACCCTATCGTACCAATCCATATAGCGCTGAGGCCACTTGATTTTTTGTCAAGAATAGACTATGCACTGCCTCAGTGCGATCCGTACCGCTTTGTGGATCATAACCGTGGTCTCCGCACGCAGAGGACTGCAAATCTCAGTTTTTTTTACTATCTCTGCCTCCTGAGAATTGTTCGGCTCTAGTGGGAATACCGGATTGGCAATGCTGGGTACGTCAGATGGAACGAGGTTGAAAATACCGGATTGGCAATGCTGGGTACGTCAGATGGCTTTTGGAGAAGATCCCCCACGTTGGATGAGTTATTCGCTTTTCATGGCTTATCCTGGCTAGGACATATACTTGCCAAGTGACCTGCTTCATGAAGCTCTTTTCGCCTTGGCCTGTGTCTAGTGGAAGCTACCGAGGTTGAACAGTGTATGACTTGGCAACGGAGTATGAAAAAACTAGGCAGTAGTCTAGGCTTGGGCAACCTGGAAGTATCCCAGCCCTCGTTCTTCCTTCTGGCGGCATGGCAGTTAAGCATTGAAAGGTTGCTACAGCTGAACGATTTTTTAGGCAATAAACTCAGCTGGGTTAACAACTGCTGCATCCGTGGTTGGGGACCCTGGGACTCCAATCATCAGTGTTAGTGACACCAGTAGACATTGCTCAGTTACGCAGTCACTGACGTTCCTGCATCAAATCTACTACCTTCACTGCATAGCTGCCCTGCCTCCTGTTCGTACAAAGAAGTAGATTAATTTAATATAAACCAACCGATTATGCGATCATCTCCAGTGCTTGGTTGCATCCCTCCGGTGCCCATTTTTCCTATGGTGAAACTTTAACGGTTGGAACACTTGGTACATGGTTTTTAGCGAATAGACTGAATTGAGTATGGTCTGCACGTGTATGAGGAGGTGACAGCGACAAACACTCCTTAGTGTGTACGCTGATTATCTTTACCCAACCACTGAACTTTCGACGCAAGAACGGTACCTGAGATCGTTGCATCCACCGATCAGTGACAAGTACTGAGCGCAAATTGATCGTGCCCAATGTTATTGGTGTACTTGTGTAAGCTGTGACCACACCATCGTGTTTGCTAAGGTGTTCGTGGGCTTATTTGGCCCTTGACAAGGTCGATTTAAACGGCCTGATATTAATAAGCTCCTTAACCTTCGAGCACACGTTGGGAGTTGAAATTAGATCAGCCAC